AAATGAATACATATTTGCAAAGACTTGATAAAAATAAACTTGTAATTTTCTAAGTATGATACAAATAAAATCTTTTCATGCATTTGAAGACGGCTTGAATGTGTATTGAAGAAAAACTTTAATATAAGTTCAACATAACAGCAAATGTACAACGTTTTGACAAGGTTTTGTCATCATCACCTTAAGAATTAAAAAAAACTAGAAGGTTTAAGAACGATTATGTCAAAATATATTACACACCAAACAAAGTCACTTGTTATTTTGCAATGAATTTTGTAAGTGAAAGAACTACATAAACCATCTTTGTGTGGTATATAGATTTACAAGTACTTAATCACATGATCTCATGCTATATCTTCAACATCACCTGAAACTAGTGTGTTATACATAAAGGGTGCCAATGTTGTATTATGTCTGCAAGTGATGTCTTCAAACCACATTTAAGGAACAAATTAAATGCAGTGATTGTATCACACAAGTGTGATAAAGATAAGCACTCTGTAAGTTCCCCCTTTTACTGAAGAAGATGAAGTGCACTTAGAGGGCACAATGAACAACTTGAAAAAGACTATTTTGGATGATATAATACCAGGAACATAGTCTTTAGTGCTGTTTAAAGTTCTACAGCATTTAATAATCAGTTTTTGGAAAACACAAAAATATTTATTGAATTCAGGCTACACATGTATACATGTACATGACAAACCATAAACAGATGAACCAAGATTCTATATTTCATGTATTAAGCTGCCTGTACATGCCATATTAAAAGCTCTTTTGTTAGTTTTTACCTTTGTTTTGAAATCCTGGATAGTCACTCCATCTACAGATATTGTCAATTCCACTCTTTGGATCCGTCCTCCCGTGGACTTTTTCACACTATGTGTGAGCTACAACATTGATTAAACAAATAAATTTTAGTTTCACAGATTATTATTGTGCTATTTGAATTACACAAAAATTTACGACACCTGTGAATGCACTGTGTGTATGTGTCTGTCTGTGTTGGTGTGTTATATATATAGACACATACACACACAAACCTGTTAAATACTGCATTAATAAAGAATTTTTGATAAAGTAATAGCACAAACTGCTTACCCTTAATTGATTAACTCCTTGTCTCACAACCTCCGTACCTATAGGTTGATTTACCTCTATTTTGCCTAGAAACTGGAAAAATAATGATTTGTATTTAATTTATGACATTAATAGCCTTTTAAAAATATTTAATCCAAGTAAAAACAGTGCATTTCAAAAAAATGTTTCTTAATCTTTTTAAGCACAAACTATCTTCTCACTGTATTTTACATTGCAAGTTTGCCTTTTCATTACATTCACCAACATATACGCTAAAACAAAATAACTCTTAAAAGTCTGATGTGCAGTTATTAAATACAATATTATAACTTGTGTGTATTAAATATAGCATTACAGTATGAAAACATTATATACAAATTTTAAATACATACAATATTAGTAAAATATTAAGAAATATTTGAAGACTGTGCTCAAATCAGTTTTCCATTAACAAAATTAACATTCCAACTTAAATATGCTTATTTAAAAAAGTCCTGTTTACTGTTTATAAATATCTATCATACTCATTATAGCAAATCTAGTCTTATTATTTGTTTTTAGGAAATAGTAAGCTTACACCATAAATAATACCTTCTGCATTTTAGCTAAAAATTAGACAAATTTAGTTAGCATACCATAAAAATTAAACTGCATTTAAAGCAAATGTAAACAGATATGTAAAAAAAAATAATATCCTACAATATACATGTGTTTCTACTACCTTGTACAATACATTTTTACCTTGACCAAATAGGCTACATGACCTGTTTTCAAGACCTCTGGTGGATGAACCCAAAGTCTCTTTCCTGAATACAAACCACATAATCATAACTTGCACATAGGAACACACACTGTTACATTCTTCATTTTCATAAACTCAATGCATAAACTCTCAGAAAGTACACCCAATGATAATCAGTTTAAAACACTTATCACATTTTTAACATAGTCACAACAAGAAATATCAAAATGTTATCTTTTCATGTGTGTGTGTGTGTGTGTGTGTGTATGTACTTAAGCAAACATAATCTAAACTTTACAATATATTTACAATGGTAGGTTGAAACTAAATTGTACAGTGTGTGTATTTAGTTCATCAGTTTAAACTAGCTTTGAGCTACAATAGAAAAATCAAAACTCACAAAAAGAGAAATTATTAAAATATTTTGGCTATGTTTACTTCTATATATTGTATTTATATATATTTTATATATAAATATATTTTATTTAAATACACATATAT